TTTTTTGAGAAGATCAACAAAATTTTCACTCATTAGCAAGACTGAATAAGACAAAAATGAAAAATCCTCAAATTACCAAAATAGTAATAAAATTGGTCCATCATCATACTCCTTACAGATATTTTAAAGATTATAAAAGAATACTTTAAACAACTGTCTGCCAACAAATTAGGTAACTTAAATGAAATGGAAAAGTTACTAGAAAGACAGAAAACTAGCTCAAGAAGAACTAGAAATCTTCATAGAACCACATCAGGCAAAGAGATTAAATTACTAATAAAAATATTACTCACTACAAGGCTGGAGATGTTGCTCAGTGGGAAAGTGCTTGCCTGGCATGCATGAAGCCCTGGGTTCCATCTCCAGTACCACCCCATCCCGCCAAAAAAAAAAAAAAAATTGCTCATTACAAAAGGACCAGGTCCAGATGCTTTTACTCCTCCAAAACATAGAAGAGGAAGAAAAACTTCCAAATTATGAGACCTGACTTATCCAGATACCAAAATCAGATAAAAATATCCTGAATAAACAAAATTAAAAACCAGTGTGTCTTATGAATACAGACACACACCAAAAAAAAATGTTTTTAAAATAGGAGCAAACCAAATTCAGCAACATGGAGAAAAGATTATACACTGTGACCACATGGGATTTAATGCCAAGAATTTGAAATTGGTTTGACATCCTAAAACCATATAAATAAATTTTAATGTAATATATCATATGAATAGCTAGTGAACAAAAACCTCACGGACATCTTAATAGACACATAAAAAGACACAAAATTTAATGCTCCTTTATGGTAAAAGAGAGAGAAAACACTAAACAAACTAGTCATAGAATGAAATTTCTAGTAAGAGGCATGTATAAAAAAACCCACAGCTTTTTGTGAAATAGTGCTTTCCCGCCCATAATGATGAATAATACAAGGAAATCACTTCTCACTAATTATGTTCAGCATCACAATAGAGGTTCCAACCAGGCAATTAGAAGGAAAATGAAATGAAAGGCTTTATGTGGGAAAGGAAGAAATACAACTATCTTTTTTGCAGATGGCATAATTTTATATATAGAAAAGCCCTTAAAACCCACTAAAAAGCTATTAAAATACATTAGTTCAGTGAGGTTGTACAAAAATCAATTGTGTTTTTATAGGCTTACAATGAACAGATTGAAAAAGAAATTGAAAAAACAATCTATCAGATTCCTCAAAAACTAAGAATGGAACCACCATATGACCCAGCTATCCCACTCATTTGTATTTATCCCAAGGAACTAAAATCAGCATACTCTAGTGACACAGTCCCTTCAGTGTTTATAGAAGCCTAATTCACAGTAGACAAATTATGGAATCAGTCCAAATGCCCCTCAATAGATGAATGGATCAAGAACATGTGATATATATACACAATGGAGTTTTACTCAGCCTTAAAAAGAACTAAATATTGGCATTTGCTGGTGAATGAACAGATATGAAAAACATCATGCTAAGTGAAATAAGCCAGACTCAGAATATCAAGGGTTGAATGTTTTCTCTCATATGTGGAAATTATAGCAAAGGGGGGAAGGCAGTAGGGGAAGGGATTGGATATTATAAACATATAAGCAAATTTTTTTGCCATATGCACATCTGATAGAGCACTAATCTTCAGGATATATAAAGAATTCAAAAAACTTAAAACAAAACAAAAAAAAAACCCAATCAATAAATGGACTAAGGAGCTGAACGGACGCTTCTTAAAAGGTGATATACAATCAAAAAAAATGCAAAACTCATATTTTGAAAACTCAAAACATTGTTGAAGGAAATTTTAAAAGACCTAAATAAATGGAAATATTTCCCATGTTCATGAACTGGAATATTAGTTAAGATATTCTATAAATTGATCTACTGATTCAAGGCAATCCCTATCAAAATCCTGATGGTTTTTTTTCAGAAATTAATAAGTGAATCCTAAAATTCATAGAAATTCATGTATCTAAATAGACAAAACAATCTTAAAAAAGAAGAAATGTTGAAAACTCACTTTATTACATTTTGAAACTTGCCACAAAACCAGTGTTACCACAGTGGTCTGTCATTTATCACAAGGGTCAGGTAAACATGAGGCAAAGAGAACTGATACCTAGAAACAAACCTTTGTGATTCTGCCCAATTGATTTCAACAAGAGTACCAAGAGAACACATGTGGCAAAACTTATCTCTTCACTGGAGGGTGGTGGGACAGCAGGATAATGACCAGACCACATCCAAAAGAATAAAGTTGGACTCCTATACCATATACACATTGCTGTATATAAAATTCACCTAAAATGGCCCCCAAATTTTAAAACTGAAACTACAGAACTCTTGGAAGAAAACATAGGTATAAATCTTCGTTACCTTGCCTTCAGCAATAGTCTCTTATATATGACACCGAAAATACAAGCAACCAAAGAGAAAATGGATAAATTGGACATCATCAAAATTTAAAACATTTGTGCCTCAAATAAGACCACCAGGACAGTGAATAGACAACCCACATACTAGGAGAAAATATTTGCATGTTTCTAATAGGAATTTATATTTATGATATATAATGAATAATGGCAAATAAACCAATTTTGAAAAGGAGGCATCTCTGAATTTCTCCAAGGAAAACATACAAATGGTAAATAAACACATGAAAAGATGTCCATCATCATTAGGCCTTCAAGAAATTGAAAACAAAATCACAATGTGATATCATTTCACACTCATCAGAATGACTAACTAAAATTTAACACAAATAATGCCAGATGTGGCAGCACATGCCTATAATTTCAGTGGCTCAGGAGGCTGAGGCAGAAGGATCAATAGTTCAAAGCCAGTCTCAGCAAAAGCAAGGCACTAAGCAACTCAATGAGACCCTGTCTCTAAATAAAATACAAAACAGGGCTGGGGATGTGGTTCAGTTGTCCAGTGCCCCTGAGTTCAATCCATGATACTAAAAAAAAAAAGAAAAAAAGGAAAGAAAGAAAAAAAGAAAGAAAGAAAGAAAGAAAGAAAGAAAGAAAGAAAGAAAGAAAGAAAGAATCACAAATAATAACAAATGTGGGTGATAATGTGGAAAAATCAAGACTCTTATACATGGATGGTTGGAATATAAAATCATGCAGTCACTTGGGAAAATAGTCTGACAGTTTAATGTGATTATCATATGACCCACGAATTCAACTATTAGACTGCACCCAAGAAACACAAAGTTATTGGTCAATACAAACACTTGCTGTCTTCATAACAACACTATTCATAATAGTCCAAAGTAGAAACAAGACAATGTGTATCGACTGATGAATAAATAAATATGGTACTTCAGACAAAGTAACATCATTCGACAATATCATGTTAAGTGAAATAAGCCAATCCCAAAAAAAACAAAGATCAATGTTCTCTCTGATTATGTAGATGCTGACTCACAATAAGCTGGGCAAAGGGAGGAGTGGAGGTTTACCGACTTGGACAGGGGGGAATAGAAGGAAGGGAGGGGAAATGGGAATAGGAAAAATAGTAGAATTAATCAGATATAGCTTTCCTATGTTCATATATGAAGACACCACTAGTGTAACTTCACATCATGTACAACCACAAGAAGTTATTCTAGTTAATCAAGATAGTAAAGTTAATATAATGTATACAGTTTTACTTAACATACTAATAAATTATATTTCAAAGTCATAGTTAAAATATAAAATATCCAACCTTGTTGCCCTTCAACAGATGAATGGGTAAAGAAAATGTTGAAATATTAATAGAGTATTAATCAGCCATAAAAAACAATGACTTTATGATATTTGCCAACAAATGGATGGATCTGGAGACTATCATGCTGAGTAAAATAACTGATCCCCCCCAAAAAACAAAGGTTAAATGTTTTGTCTGATATGTGGAAGCTAATCCACAATAGGGGGGAGGTGAGGGGGAGATAGAAGTTCAGTAGATTAGACAGTGGAGAATGGAGGGAAAGGTGGAGGGATACAAGAGGGAAAGGCAGTAGAATGAATCTCATGTAATTTCCCATAATTTTTGTATGTATATGAAAACAATACAGTGAATCCCACCATCATGTATCATGAGAATGGGATCCTAACTAGAATAAGATATATTCCATGCTTGTATAATTATATCAAAATGGATTCTGTTGTCATTGATATTTAAACAGAACCAATAAAAATATACAATTTTTGTTAGTTCTATTTAAAAAAGGAATGAAGTATCAATACATGCTGTAACACTTGAAAATATGATAGTTTTTTTAAAAACAGTCACAAAAGACCCTATATTATATGATCCCATTTACGAGAAAGATCCAGAATAGGCAAATTCATAGAGACAGAAAGTACTTTAATGCTCTCCAGGGGAGTAAGAAGTTGTGGAGAAATGGAAAGTGGCTAACACTGATACGGAAAAAGAATTAAAATTGATTGTGGGGATGGTGCACAACTCTGAATATACTAAAATCATTTAAATTGCATACTTCAAATGGGTGAATTGGATGGTATATGAATCATGCCTCAACAAAGATGTTACTTTTTAAAAAAAATTATGAAGATGGGCAAGGCAGAAAAGAAAAAAATGAGGAATAAAAACAGAAAGTCTCTAAAAATTATATTTAAAAACAAAGAATTCAAGCAGAGAATTGGAGGAAAGTATGAGAGGAGGAAATAGAGCTGCCAACTTTGGGGTGACATGCACAAGTCTTTGCTCAGCCCTGGCATCCTCATCTGTAAAATCATTGGTTAGACCCATTGTATCAGAATTCCCAAGGATCACCATTTCTCTGATACCTCTGTTCATCTCCAATGTTCACCAAGCTGCTGTTGCAAAAGGGATTAAAAACAAGAACTCTCCTTATCCCCTTCTCCAGCAATCCCTCACTCCCCCAAACCTCTTTCCAACCCTGGACTTTTATGGCTTCCAAAACTCAGACCAAATCAGACCGAGGTCCCTAGAACCTCCCACCAACCCTCAGCCTTCCCACCTGAAATCTCGTGTGTCCATGAGGGTGCGGTTGTGAGGCAACTGGTTGCTGAGGTAGGCGTTGTAACCAAACTTCTGGAACAGATCCTCGGCCTCTTTCTGCTGGGCTTCAGAAAGCTTGTCACCCCACTGCTTGAAGAGCGGCGAGTTCGGGAAGAGTTTCTTTGGGGGTCTATTCTGCTGCTTCTTTGTCTCCCTCTCAGGAGTTTCCACTGCCTTTTGAGCAGGGTGAACTTCATCTTCTATCCTCTTTTGTGTGTGGTCCTCGTTTTCTTGTTGCTTCATAACCAGTTGCATACCATCTTCTGCAGATGAAGAGGACGGGGTAGGAGAGTGCAGATAAAACAGTTTACTAGATCCTAATTATCTGGGCATTGCTTTCCTTCCTAATTTATGTAAAACGGTTTTCTCTTTGCTATAAATTTGGATCCTAAATAAGCCAAACAACCTGTGTGTAGCGGCTTATTTAGGAGCCTTTAAGAAGTGAGGCCCAGTTGGAAGCTTCCAGTCATGTGGGGCTGTGCCTTCAAGGGGGATACTGAGACCCTGACACTCCCACCCCACCCCACCCCCGTCTCACTCTCTCTCTCTTCTTCTCTCACAGGAATGGCAAACTAACACACTTTGCAGATTTTTAATTTATGGCTCTTGTCCCAGAGAATGTGATGGGTCAAGTGAACTTGTCAGGGCCGTGCAAGGCTGTCCTGGCAAAGACACGCTAGGTCCATCTCTCTCTGTAGCTTCAACAAAATTTGTCTGTCCATTTAAGGCTACTCGAGTTGCTGCCATTGACCTGAGAAATAAATAGATAATCAAATAATGTATTATCAGAATTAAGCCTAAGAAACATTTACATCAGAATCATCAACTGTGATTATTTTTAAAAGTAGATATCCAAGCCTGTGTTCAAATCTACTAAATCGGAATCTTGGGGCCAGGGGAAGTTACCAGAGTTTGCATTTTAACAAAACCAAGAAGTAATTCCTCTGTACAGTGAAATGTGGAGTCACATTATACTACACTTCTAGTAGCTGACAAAGGCAAATCTACTCTAACCAGCACCACCGTCGTCCACCTCCCCTTTCCCTTCTCATTTGATTCACCAAGAACTTTTAGGCAGAAATGTCCAATGTGGTTGGCACAGGAAAGACTTCAACAGCTTGTTAAAAAATACAGAATCCCAGGACTTCCCTGAAGATGCTTACTCCAGATAGCACTAATGTTCATATTCATTTGAGGAACACAGACTTAACTCAAAAGAACAAACAGACTGACAGACCCAGGCAGAGGACTTCTCATACAGAAGAGGTCTTTCAGGATCTATAGTACCAATAGTAAAAATGATGCTTTGTGTTTGGAAAATGGCCTACAAACTTCAAAGGTCTTTCCCATCCATCATTTATCTCACCTTTATAACAACCCTATAAGATTTATGCTGGAGAGTCTGAACATATATGTACCTTGAGCTCAATCTACAAATGCAGCAGGAAAAGAGTGCAAAAGTAATGAGTCCAGTGCTTACTGATGGTGACACTCCTGGGCATTAAACATCGAGTAACCAAAGGTCTTGGCTATAGGACCACTTAGCTCCCACTAATCCTCCCCTAAACCCCCCATTAAATTTCAACCAGACTGAGGGATTAACTTCAGCCCATCCAGCATCTTTCTGAACATTAGAAGGGAATGCCCTCTTTTCCTGAATAATTGCTACCCAGGGTCACCAGGATGGTTCCACTATGTGAAATTTTTCTGGGTAAACGCAATCCCATGCCACAGAACAAGACTTAGTGACAAGATTTGGCATGTATTTCAGATTCATCTATAGCCCTTCCAAGGGAAAACAGGGAAGTCCAAAACTGGGAAGAAAATGTTTAAGAAGATGACAGAAGTTTGGCCCTGGAGAAAGGAAAAGGAGAAGAATCAATTAAAGTGCCCAAGGCAAAAAGAGAATGGTTGAAGCAAACTTGGGAAGAGATCTAAATGGCAAGGTCTGCCAAAGAAGAGCTGTGGAAATACCATGAATATTTACTCAGGTGGGAAATAAAAGCATAATGTTTCAAGTGTTCCAATTGAGTAGTATTATTATTCATACATTTCTGTGGTAAGCACATAGGGGTCACAGGGTGCTACTGAGTTCTTCTTGCCTCAAATGAAACTCCCCTACTTTCCTCTTTGGGGTGACACCTGATTTTTTTTTCTTTCATTCACTACTGTCAGTGGGAACTGAAAGTCTAGAGTCTATTTGAAAATTGCAGACATTCTGGCAAGATGAATACAGTGCCACTAGACCATTCCCATGATTGACATGAAAATGTTTACGGCACAAAGGAGACACACCCAATGATATTGCTCTGGTGGGACTTTTAAGAGCTCCAAGAAAGGGTCCAACAAACTGGTTTAGAGTCACTTGTCCCTCTGCCAACAGGGATATGATTATCATCATGTGTTTGCTTTTACTCTTGATAACTTACATAATTGAAGATTTACCTAAATGTTCCTATTGACTTACAGTTTTCTTCAGTCTTTCCGGAGCCCTGAAGGCAGTGAGCAACCAGGATGTTAGGCAAGAGCTGTAAATTTAAAATCTGGAACATGTGTTAACTTGCCATTCCTGTGACAAATAAATAGTTTATAAAGAGAAAAGAATTAATTGATAAAGAGAGTATTAGATAATTAGTTTATAAAGAGAAAAGTTTCATTTTGGCTCACAGTTTTGGAGGTTTCAGTCCATGGTTACTTGGCCTGTTGCTTTGGGGCCTATGGTGAGACAGGGGAGGGTACAGTGGAGGGTACAGGAGAGGGTACACTGGAAGGTTCAGCTCTGCTGGGAAGGGTCTCTGACGCTACGTCACTTTAGACTGAAAAAAATCGTGGCATCAACAAGATGAGATAGAAAGATAGAAGTGGTCATTGCAAACAAATAAAAGAAAGTAAGTTGGTGGCTCTGGATGGCTCCTCAGGGCATGTCATGTCTCTGCTGAGGAAAGACTCCTGCCATGCTAAGGTTCAGGGGAAGGGGGTGACTGCAGTAGAAGGAACTAAGGGTCACATGGGAGAGTGCTGGTGTGGTCTAGGTTCTCCTACAAGGAGTGGCAGTGGCTCTGGAGTCACCAGCCTGGGTCTACAAGCTCCTAGTGAAGCCTGCTGCATAGATTGGCACGTGCAGTGTTCCACCCAACTGGGGAAGCCAGGGCTTCTGAACCAACAGTCTTCCCTCTGTTTCCCCCACACTCTAGCCTGTCTCACTCTTCCCTTCATCCCTGTCCACCTGTACTTTTCTCTCTCCTGCTTACACTCACTTGTTCACTTATTCATTGAGATAATTTCCATGTATGGATAGAAATGAATGGGGAATGCACAGCTACATCCATGGAATGACCCCCCACGGGACCTGCTTTCCAGAAAATTGCATCACAGAAAAATGTACTGAGTGTAAACAGGGTGTGGGTGTTTCGTGCCCCACCTTCTTTTATCCTCTCCCCAACCGGTTCTCACTTTCCCTTTTTGCCTCTTGTCTCCACAAGTTCTCAACCTCTCTCCCTAATTCCCACTTCTTTTTTCCTTCTCTTCCATCCTCATCACTTTTCTCCTGTCTCGCCCCACTTCCCTCTCTCTGCCTTTCCCTGATTTATTCCTCCCTTTCTTTTTCTCTTCCTATCCTTCCTCCTTCCATCCCTCTGCCTGAGCCTTGGTAATATTCATTTCCCATTTAAAAAGACCTTGACCAGCTCCAACACCAAATGCATCCCTGCTCACACATTCAACGCCTCCCTTAAGGGTTCAAGCCCTTGATCTCTGTTACCTAGGGAGCAGGGAAAATTGTCACTTCTCTCACTGAAGTCAGATGCACAGGTACATATAATTCAAAGGAGTTAGCCAGTCTTACAAACCAAGCCCAGGATGTGTTGGAATCCTACCCAGAACGTTAAATGAAGAGGTTAAAACTGGACATATATCACTTTCTGCATGTTCCCAACCCTGTGAAGTCAGGCAGCTCTCTATCATTATTGTTTTCATTATCATTGTCTCCACGTACAGATTCGAAGTCTGAGGCTGAGAGAGATAAGCACTTACTCAAAGTCACACCACCATAGCAGCCATATCAAGATTTGACCTTCGGCCCTCTAACAATGCCTCCATGCATTCATGATAGGAGCTCCCAGGAAATTGGAAGCACCCTTTACCCTAGACACAGCCACCTCTCATTAACAGCCCTGTCACACATAGGCCTAAAGATAGGGCTGATTCTTGAGCCTAGATTCCTAGATTTCTGAGTCTTTTGGGGTCCTTATTCTGAGCTGCAGTCTCTCTGCCTGCATGTATGCAGATGTGATCATGCATATGCACAAATATATACACACACCCCACTTCCATACACACTCTGCTCTCCTCCCTCAAATCATCTTCTCTAAACTCCCACTCCTACCACCTATTTCTCAATGCAGCCCATCAGACTCTGATGCCTGAAAGGGCAAATGAGAGATGAGAATGTGGCTTCTCACCCATTTTTCTCCACACCCTATTTTTTACTAAGTGTCCCTAAGTATACACTCACATGCATGCTCACACCCACACATACTTGCATGCACCACACACACACACACACACACACACACACACACACACACACACATCCCCTCCAAATTAGCATGCTGAACTTACTCAGATGCTGCAGATCCATTTCCAAGCGAGAGAGTCTCTTGATCATGGCTCCGTCCCACTCTGGTGGGGGCAAATGAAACTCCTTGTGCAGATGCCCCAGAATCAAGTTTTGTAAAGTCTCCTTGGTATAAAATACCAGAAGGATGTTGACAGCAATGACCAGAATCAGCCCAATGCAAAAGCCTTTGGGGAAGTTTCTCCTGAGGATCATCTTGGTCCCTGCAGGGCTGAGCAGTCACTGCCCAGTGGAGCTAAGGATCCTAATGCACCAAGCTTTGTCTCTGGTGACTGCACGAATGGGAACCTGCCTGCTGAGCCAGATTTTCTCTGGCTGGGAAAACTGTCACAAGCTGCCTGGCTTTCCTCTGAGCAGTGTCAGGTGTGAGGAGTGTGTCACGGCAGTTGCCCAGTGACTGGTAGGTGACCTAGGCACACCTTTATCTGCTTCAGAAGTGAGGTGTTTGCACTTTCCTGGCACAAGCTCAGGCTGCTGGGGTGAGAGGCTAATCTTTATCTGTCTGTGTTTGGTTTTAATGTTCTCTCTCCTTAGCAAAGTGGCCTAGGAAGTTCTTTGCTAGAATCTTTAAGGTCTGGTCCTGTGGGTATCAAAGGGGATAAATAGGATGGAAAAGGAATCTGCAAAGTGGGAAGTTGGACTGTATACTGTTGTTGGGTTTTTTTTTTCTCTTTGCATTCATATTTTTATTTTATTTTCAAGATATGGAATTTATTGTGGGATAAAATTTTTATTTTTTTAAATAAATGATAGTAGAATTCATTACAATTCTTATTACACATATACAGCACAATTTTTCATATCTCTGGTTGTATATAAAGTATGTTGACACCAACTTGTGTCTTCATACATGTACTTTGGATAATGATGTCCATCACATTCCACCATCCTTGCTAACCCCTTGCCTCCTCCCTTTCCCTCCCACCCCTCTGTCCTATCTAGAGTTCCTCTATTCCTCCCATGTTTCCCCTCCCTACCCCACTATGAATCAGCCTCCTTTTCTCAGAGAAAACATTCGGCATTTGTTTTTTTGGGGGGAGGGGGGATTGGCTAAGTTCACTTAGCATTATCTTCTCCAATGCCATCCATTTATCTGCAAATGCCATGATTTTATTCTCTTTTATTGCTGAATAAAATTCCATTGTTTAGCTATTGTGAATTGTGCTGCTATAAACATTGATGTGGCTGTGTCCCTGTAATATGCTGATTTTTAAGTCCTTTGGGTATAGACCGAGGAGAGGGATAGCTGGGCAAATGGTTTTTCCATTCCCAGATTTCCAAGGAATCTCTGTAACGCTTTCCATATTGGCTGTGCCAATTTGCAGTTGAGAGCAAAAAATCTCAGGAGTTTTTCTACAGGCTTGTGAACATAGTAGATAGGCAGCAAATATACCTTCAACTAACTAGAGACACTTCCCTGCTGGTTGCTGGAGCCTCCTGCCTGGCAGCAGGTAGAAGTGAGCTGGAGGCAGCCCTTAGGGTTGAGCCTCAGGGAAGACCCCACTTCACGAGTCTCTATCCTCTGTTTGTCCTCTACCCAGCTCTGCACTCTGGAATTCTACCCTGCCTCAGTGGAGTGCACATTCTAGTAACTTCTTTACTATTCTACCCCACACTTCCTGTATGTTTTGGACAAAAATCATCTAATTTTAATCATTGTGTATTAACTACCTTTTTTTTCCCCTAAAGCCAGAAGTTTAAAGTTCTCAGTGTTGGGTCTGGCCCCTTCATAATCACATCTGCCACCTTGTCCTAGCTCCTGGATCTACTTACTAGGACCTCAAACTCAGCATCTACAGACATAATTGAAGCAGGCATGTGAAGTTAAGAAGTATGGATTTAGGAAAATTTTTTTAAAATTTCTTTTAAATTTAAAAATTTTAAAGAAAAATTAAAAGCAATCAATTACTTTGTTTTCATTAATAATCTTTCCCTGGCTCCCACCTGCAGATTTGAGTCTAAGCCAATATAAATGCTTGATCTCTTCCATTCCTGGGAGGATATGGAGAGGATGCATTGGTGTTTAGACATTTCCACTAAAGGCAACTAAAAATTCTAGATATTATCTATTAAGAAAAAAAAACAGGAAGACTTTGGAAGGTGGAAAGAAGGAAGCAGGCTGGCTAGAGATCTTGGGACCCAGGGCAGAACACAGATACCAATTCCACAGGCATCCTTTTTCTTTTGGCCTAATATATCCAATACAATAAACAAAGTTTTTTAAGTCACTGGATGAGCTTCAACCTTCAACAGCAGGTTAAAGAGGACAGAGAAAAGAATCAGTGAATTTGAAGGTAGAGCAATAGAAATCACCAATCTGAACAATGGAGAGAAAATACGACTGAAAAAAATAACCACAAAGCCTCAGAGATCCCTGAGACTATAACAAAAGATTTAACATCCTTGTTACTTTCATTGTATTGGAGCATAAGAAGGAAAAGGGGAAAATGTAAAACTAAATAGGAATTTTAAGCAATAAAGGCTGAAAATGTCCCAAAGTTAGCAGAAGACATAAACTTACACAGTGAAGCAGCTAAATAAACCCCAAATAGATCATCTGAAAGAAATCCAAGCCCCAAAGCATCATAATCAATCTTCTGGAAACTAAAAGAAAAATCTCTGAAAGTAGCAAGAGACATATGACAATTTCCACAAAGGAGTTCTCATCAGAGGTCACAAAGACTCGAAAGAAGAAAAGAACATTTTTCAAGCACTGAAGAAATCTACCATCAACCCAGACTCCCATGTCCAACAAAAACATCCTTTAGGGATGAAAAGAAGACATTCTCAGAGAAAAAAAATCTCAGAGGATTTGAAGCCAGTGGACCTACTATAAAGGCATGAATACAGAACTTTTCTAAATGAAGAAATGATAAAAAGAAGGAAACTTAGAACGTCAGGAGGAAAGGATGACCGATAAAGACAGTAAAAATATGAATAGAAAGGCCTTCCTTTCTCCTCTTGAGTTTTCTAAATTATATTTGATAGATGGGACAAAAATCACAATGTTGACTGATGTCATTCTCAAAATACATAGAAGAGATATTAATACAATTGTATTATATATGGGAATGGTTAACGGAATTTAAAATAGGGTTTCTATATGTGACTTGAACTGATAAAATTATGTCCCTAGTATTCCTCGATAAGTTATGCATGTGGAGTGCTGATGGAATTGTTATGAAGTATCTTGATTGTAGAGTTGCTTGCAAGATCTATATATTATAAAGCAGTCTGGAAATATATATGCAAAATATCAATGTCAATTTTCTTGTTTTACTGTGCATTATTACTATAAAACATATATATTCATTGAAAAAACTAGATGGAAGTTCCATAGAACTGTTTTGTACTATTTTTTTCAAATTTTTGTGAATCTATAATTATCTCAAATTTAGAAGTTTTTTTTTAACCCTGGTCCCAACCCTTCACAAACTGACAGCTTATGTATATCACTTTCAGAAATTAAACCGCTTTATTTGAAATTCAGAAAAAAATAGTGGCTACCTCTGGAGGTGGCAGAAACTGGAGAACTAAGGTATAGACATGGGGAAAAGACTTGCTTTTTATTGTATAACTTTTTGTACTTTTTAAATTTTGTATCATGCTACACCAATTATCTATTAAAAATAAATTTAAAAATATGATTAAAATTATACCAGAATCTATGTCCCTTTAATGCTATCTGGAATAGGACAGAAATTCACCCATCTAGAAAGACCAGTAGGAGTTCCTTTCTCTATTTTCCTTGCATCTGTCCTTCTCCACAAAGAAGATGGTGAAACTCTTCAGGAAAGGGTACTTATGAATGTCCTTCTGGGAACACTAGGTGACTGCTATTGAATTTATGTCATTACTGCTCAGAAGCCTAGAGTCCTATTCCTCCAATGTCCAGTTTATAAAAATCACCTGGGTAGCTTGGCAAAAATGCAATTTTCAGGTTTTAAGCTCAAATAGTATAACTCTAAAGGTCTCTTATGGGAGCTGGACATCTCCATTTTAACTAAAGCCAATCGCCTTACATCTCCACCCCCAGGGAGCTCACAAATCCACAGGGGAACTGGACCTTTCTACATAAATCTGTGTGCTTACCACCCTGTAGTGGGCACCAATGTAGACCACTATTCACCTCATTGTTATATATAATAGCAGATTATTATTACTATTATTTATTATTATTATTATTATTATTATTATTCATCTGACCTAAATGTCCCAACTACAGAAGGACTATTAAATAATTTGTGGTGCATAAAAGCCAATAAACTATGGTACCTCCACTCCATAGAATATTAGAATATTATGGGCACTGAAATGAGACTACTGGAGAAAGTAGGGAATTCAGAGTAAGATAGTGATTGCACTACTCACTAGCTAGGGAAGATCAGGCAAGTTAGTTCACTTCTCTGAGCCTAATTTTTTCTTATCTGCAAAAGGACTATGTAACACTCCCCTTTACAGAATCAGAGACATGAGATACCCTTGTGAAGCCCATGGCATCTTAATAAAATAAGACTTAATCATTGCTGTGGAGTTTGTTTTCAAAATGTCTTGAGAGTCATACTTGGACATGCAGAACTACTTGTAAAAAAAATTCTAAGTGGGAAAAAAACGGCTAGAAAATTATTTAGGACACCTGAGTTTCCTACACAGACTCTTAGAGGAGTTCTAAGTAGTGCCACAGTGCCAATAATAGCCTAAATTTATTTAACCTTACCAAATCTGCTGTTACAGGATCCCAGGCCTCTGTAAAATCTTCTTAAGTATTTCTAAAAGTCCCCAAAGGGTCTCAGAAATAGTCCAGTCAGGCTCCAGGTGGCATATTACAGTTTCCCTCTCCCATAACACCACCTAGATGGTCTTTCCACCAACTCTGCAGCCTCACGGCCCACACTACTATGTTCTGTGGGATACCCAGGTCCACAGAATACCCAGAACACCTGGGACTCTGAATTATTTACCTGAACAAATTGAGAGTTGGTGACGCCCAAAAATGGAGGGAGAGAACAAAAGGGAAGAGCAGATCTGGGGCTAGACCAGGAGGTCACATAGGTGTGACTCATTGGAAGTTTTGTAACAGCAGGTTAAGTCTAGTAAATGAACAGAAATTTGAGTCTCAAGCTCTGATAAGAGAGATCAATGGCCAAAAAAATCTCTCAAAGAAAATGAATAGTGTGGTTTTTTTTGAATTTTTATTGTTGGTTGATGAATAGTGTTTTTAAAAATAGAAATGTATGGGAACTAAACATAACAATGGAATATTCAACAAATATAGAAATATTTATGTTTACCATGTCCTAAATTCTAGCAGAGAAAAAACTGGTGATTCAACCCTTAATAATTTTTTTTTCTCCCTTGCCACAAATTTGGCAAGTGTTTCCATCCTATCTTCTCAGCCAGAGGGAAAGGCATGAGATGGTATGATCCA